GAAGAAACTGGCAAGAAGGAGAAAACTGTCCATGCTTTCGGAATTCGAACATTTCAGTTAGCTCTCACATGCTTTCTAAAATAAAAACGAACGTACTTCACTCACATAATCAAAGATTTATGGACGAATACAGAACCGATAGTAGAAAGATTATCCGACTCATTTGGTGGCATCTCCGATAAATTACACCTAAATACTCATGAAATCAAAAGGAATAAAACAACAGCAGCATAGTAGTGCTCGTTGTATAAGAGATGAGTATCATCACTAAGTGGTAAACTCTTTAAAATTCTGAAAAGTGATAAATGATTCGAAATCAGTGTTATTGTCTGTAATCTCTTGTTGTTAACTGACTGGCCACACTACAATTTTTTAGGAAATAAGCACAACCAGTTAGTGAATTCCTAACAAAGCATAATGTACACACTAAATTCTTTTCCTCTAATTAGCTGCTAAAAATATCAGGTTGTTGAAAGCATTAGAGAACACGGTACCAGTACAAGAAGAGTTGAAAAGTGTTCTGAAAACATTAGAAAAGTAAGTAATCCTGTCTAGAATTAAAGAGTAATGATAGAGGAAAATAATCCATAAGTATTTCATCACCTTTTTAAAATTCCTCTGTAATCCATGAGTTTATATACAAAGAGACAAAGTGCACTCAAACGAGAAAGCTAAAGATGACTATTCAGTTGGTAGAACATTCTAATAATTGGTTTCAGAAAACATTTCGTGAATAACTTATTAGTTTGGATTACAAGTTAGTCTTTAATCCTCATAGCACACTAAACTGTACTGAGATAAACATAATTTATGGACTAGTAGTGACAAACTTTACAAAAGACAAAAAGGGTACAATTTTCTTGGAGCTGATGCTGCAATACATACTCATGGATAGGAACATACATAACATTGACTAGGGCTGAAGAAGAATCTGACAGATCGCAAATCAGTGCTTTCAGTACACAATTATCAACAGAGGAATTAATAATGACTGCCCAAATCGAAGACAAAATAAGTGCCAAGTAATTTTTGGCTTTAGATACTAAAAAGTGTTTAAAAATAATATTCCAAATATGCTAAAAGGCTAGTTGGCACAATGTAGTACGAACGATATTCGCATACCAATTGATTGGAATATAGGTCCAGTTAGTACGGTCTTGTAACTCTAGCAGAGTGACGTTTCAGTCGGACGGAGGATACTGGTTCAAATTCTGTTCTAATACAAGTTTTCTGTCAACCGTTTTCATTATTCCCCTGTTAAAAAAATCTGCCGGAAACAATCTTACTACCACTGCTTGTAGTGGCCTGGGGGATAATAACGTTCCACCGTTTGGAGCTATCAGTCTTGGTGCCAACAACATCCTTCACTGGGAGACAGGCAAATCCAGCTGACAAGTCCCAAATAAACCGAAACGAGCGCCCTGGCTTCCACTGCCAGCCACTATCCAACATTACTGTCCATCTAATCACTAAATTAAAATATTTGATGAGTCAGTTACTACAAGAGCTTAAAGCATCTTTACTGTAGAAAGATTTAGCAAGGCCCCCAGCATTGCATCTTGTTGCACATTCGGAACTTTAACAAATATTGACAGTTAAGGCTAGGAATCGATTCGGCACAAAAGCAGTTTACTGACAGAGCGACTTGACTACCGGTTGATGACTTTAGACAATAAAGAGGATGTCTACATTTGATAGTTGATGAAATCAGATTTATCAATCCGAAAGGATTTCCTTCTTGACAATGATAACCACAGTAGTAGATTTTGTAGATTAACTACCGAAAATATCTACGGCTACTTTACAAGTGTCCTTATAGAGTGCTTTTACCACACTGTATGTCACACTTTCATGTTATACACTAAACTCAGTCACTTCCATTCTAATATGCTATAATAAGATTTATTAATCATTTTTATTAGCATATATAAAGTTTACTACCGTAGAAACAATAAATGCACTGGTCACATACTACTCATATCTCCAGATTTATGGTAGTATGTGAAGCTTACGTGTATCTAAGTACTTTCAAAATGTGCACCATTCAGTGTTGTAACAATTTGGGTTGAACAGTTTTAGGATTCATTGAAAGCAATTAGCACAGAGGAAAGGAGTATAAACCCCGCGAACTAAACATCAGTAGTCTACGGTAAAACTTCATACATTTGAGAGCTAGATGATCTTCAAACTTATCACAAAACCTGTTTCACATATAATAACAAATTAGCTGTGCATACTTTACTTCTGTTGATCATCAAAACTTCACACGGAAAGCATTTTCAGCTACTGTTATTTCCGATCTGAACCAAAATGCACCCAGCAACTTCGTATAGTAGGCAATGAGCTACTCATTTTGTGAAGGGTAATGATACTACCCGGTACCCCAAGTCTCAGCAGATGGAGCGGGACTAAAACCCGTGACGCATTGGTGAGAATTCATCTCCCTAAACCAATAAGTCACAGCCCCACACTCCTGATCTAATTATTCATAGCCTTTTCGTAGATTAACATGAATTGATGTCCAGTAATTAGAAAGGTATAAGTACAGAAGTTCCACTTATACATTTTTTCCCTTACAGAAACGACCTGTATATTTAACTGTTTATAAGTTTACACACCTATATGCCCCCACTGAAGTATTTTATTGATCATCGGATTTCTCGCTAGGACATAAAACTTTGTAAAGCATGTATAGTTCAAAGAGTTCGATGAATGCAAAATTCTTAAGTCTCGACCATTTTCAGCCACTCATGAGACTAGTCTGCAGGAGCTCCATGACAAAACAAACAGATAAAGGTTACCAAAAACCAAGGACTACTGAACATGAGTTCAAGCTGAGCTTATGACTCTTCGGTGAAATTTTTAACAATATAGACTTCTGTACCTGAGGGTGTTCACTTAGTACTCTATTCCAGCTGGATCATCGGTCGGATATCTTTTTCCCGATTATGCAACAAACATATATTGAATCGACATTCTGTTTTAATACAACTGACTCACTTTACGCCAATGAACTGGAAGACTAGCTATAGCATCCTGTAATCTTCAGCACTAAACAATTCTTCATAGCGTGGCAGAAATAAATCCTTTCATCCAGTCATAGTGAATGTGACAACTATTGCCTTAGAAACAACATTCACGCGTAACGGGGTTATTGTATGAGCAATTTTACCATAGATAAACGACATTACGCTAAATTTATACCAATTAATGAGGCCATGAATTCGCATTGACCAAGAAATATGTCGTACATGAGATATCACTGACTACCTAGTCCGATGTCAATGATCGAACCAATGAGCATGATGGGATGTCTCTGTGTGGTTAGATTAAGACAAAGGTAAGTACTATACTGATCTGACTAGTGTGATGAGTACATCTTCAGACTTGAAAAAAAGTGATATAAATTGGACTACAGTGACTTTCATCATATTGTGATAAATATAAAGCAAGTTATTTGGTTTATATGTTTACTCCTTTTGCATCTACCTTTTAGTTCCTGTTAAGATGTTACATCTAATTTAACTAACACTATTTAACATGATACTCAAGGAGTGTATCAGCTCCATCGATGCACAGCTGTTGCAGGTTCTAAGTAAATGTAGTGAAGTGAACTCTTGAGATTCAATCTTGACGGGAAATTTAATGTATTTCATCTAATCTTAATTACTATAGATCTTAACTCACAATAGTGGGTATTTTCATAACCATCCCATCAACTGGCAGTCAGAGAGCGATGGATAAATACTAATCTAAGCCTGTTACTCATGCAATAAAATGTAGCAATTTGATTTAGTAAAATGAAAACATAGTCAGTTATCTTCGATGGCTGGAGGTTGATGACACGAAGCTAAGGACTGATAAATTGTACTTGTTGGTACTAATCAAGAAAGTATTTCTCCAATCTAACGTGATTCGAGTTGGTTTCTTTTACTACTTCACTCACCGTTAACCCCCGGGTTTCGAAGTCATCATCACCACCACAGCGTCTAAATCATACACTCACATCATAATAATATTTACGTAAAAAAGTACAAAGCTTCTTCTCTTCCTGGTGAGACGGCAATAACAGCAGTGGTCAACAATAGTCGAACTGCCATTGTTCGCATGATACGACTTAGAATCGATCTCAATGATGCACATATATCCATATATTAATTTTCATATTGAATTCAACATTTTACTAATTTCTATTACTTTTGACAGATTCTTCTTTATTTGTTTAATCTTAATGCCTTTTCGCTTGATTTGCTGATAGAGGTGTGGCAACTTAAACTGCTTTGCAGCAATGTCATGTCTGGTGCTATCTTGATATCCACGTATACATTTGACAGAAAACCTAAATAACTCACAATTTCCTACAATTACGAAAAGTAAACTAGGGTTTGCATAGTGTGAATGAGTACTTACAAAATATCTATTATTTATAAACAGGAAAAAAAGAGTATACCAAACAATTAAATTAAAACAAACATATACACACGAAATAACAAGTATATTACAAGAAAGACAAAAAATAAGAGAGATAAATGTGAATACGAAAGACAGATAAAAGCATACAAAAGAGTTTTTGTGTCTTTGCTTTTTTCTACTCTTCTAGTCTCCGCAAAGAATAAATAAATAAATAAGAAGGAACCTTAGTGTATAGACATATAGGTGATGCATATAAAAAATATGCGTACAAAAATATGTATGCAGTAGAAATGTCAATAGATACTATTACCCATGATAATCATAGTAGTATGATAAAACGTGTTCATACATTATCTTATTTCACATTATTATTTCACGTGTATTATTGTATAAAAATGTGTGTACAAAAAAGATTATTGTAATAGGTCAACTGTTAACACTTTTATGCCATCGATTACAATATCACAATAAAGTGGACGATAGGAGAGAGGAAGACAGAGAACAAGTGCTGTGGAATAGTAAGTTGATCACAAAAAACAAAAATAAAATGAGATTGAAAGCGAAGACTAAAGGAGAAAGAATATTCCTCAACTGGACTCCGTGATCACTTCCAAAGACATCATAGTGGCGAAGCCAATCAGAGCCATTATAGATGATAGTCGGCCGTGTCCTCTGTAAATCAAATAAAACGTGTATAATGTGTCACCATTATGTAATTAATTATGGCATAAGCTGATACTGACAAATGCATAATTTCAAGCAAGTTATTTTACGTGTTGCTAGGGGATTGAAACAAACTTACGATTACTTGACAAAATGATAACTATTTTGTTCAGTGATTCAATTAAAAGACTAAGGAGTGAAATATTAGAAGTAGTGATTAGTCTGAATTAATCAGTGAGCAGAAACTCATCTTGCCTGGGTAAATCCACTGTATTTGAACACTCCCGAGAAAGCCTTAAAACAGAAAGCTGAAAGATACAAAGTTTTAGCCCAACAAAAAGCGTAGATCTTTTGAAAATCCCTAATAATCTTGCTCACCACTGGTCATCCTTTAGAACATTTATTTCCATGAAAAGTATTACCACAGTTGTTTTTTCCCGAGTGCGGTTTATCGGTAGAGAAAGGAGATAAATTTATCACATCGAATATTACCAAAAATTATACGTCTATCCAACATCAGTATGACACAACGAAATCTGAATTATTTATCGTTGCTGTTCAGTATTTGTGACTAGAAGTTTCGATAGTTCACGAAACTAAGAAAGCTGTCAAATTATTCTTTTGAAAGGATTTTAATCACAATATATTCACCATGCTTCAAATTGATTTCATTGAGAATATGTACATTTTATTTAATTTAACATTATGAAGTAAACATACAGCTAATTCACGGAGTAAATACTTCAAATAAGGATTGACAGACGGAAAAAGAGTAAGCAGTTTTAGTCGACTCAAATGAATATATATTCAGACAATCAAAAAGCAACAACACAGTAAGTCAATGCATATCAGCCTAATCGGATTAGTTGTATTTTCAATAGGAGAAAATTAGTACATGTGATTCACATAAAATACCAATCAATCAGTTAAGACGTTACACTGATAACAACAAGCACATTGTTAATATTTCCGTCGCCGTCAATCTCAAAGACAGTGCTAACTAGGTTCGTGCTGCTGAAATAAGCACTGGAAATGCTGAATTGTGCCTATTGGATAAACTCAACTGGTGAAAAATACAAAACGTTATCACAAGAAAAGTGAAGTTACCCTATCATGGATTCACATAACAGTCGCTCAAAACTCACAGTGGTTGAAGTTAAGACCTGGTAAGCGGCTGAGTCCCGGAGCAAGGCTGGTAGAGCACCACGTCCGCAACTCGGACGCCGATACTTTGAATTCCACCACGATTCACGTTTTTATTTCATCTTCAGCATAAATAGTAATAATAATAACCAGTCAGAGTAACAGAAAGAAAGCTAGTTTCAGGTGAGATGAAGGCTTCGGAGTAATAAGAAATTTTTCTTCAGATACGTTTCCTCCCGTCAACATACTATTACCATTATTATCTATAGTAAACTCTCAATAAGAAATCAGTTTTTTAGCGCTATATAACTGTCAGATGTTGCGTGAACTCTGAAAATCAATCTAAATGATTTTTAGGTATGTATTTCAACAATCGGTAGTACCCTTGTATCAGATATCAAGATTTGTAAATTTTGCTGCGTGAGTGGTTTCCAATAGTTTAATTTAATGCCAAAAACTAATAATCCCAGTAGGATTTATGGTACTGAAGGAAACGATAAAACTGAGACACAGAAAAGAATGTTTATTATTGACATCTTGTACAGTAGTCATCAAATATTGTACACTTTCCACTAAAACAGTCATTTGCACAATGTGCTTCATTTCCTTTTCTGTTTCTATCTCGATTTACTCCTAATACACCCACATTGTTTCTTGCATTTCTCTGGGCAGAATCCTTATCCGTTGCTGGTAATTGCCTATGATTTTCGCCGCCCTCTCAACATATACTACTCACATTCATCCTGAACAATAGCGTTCACTACAGTACTATTATGCCAGGTTATCTTCTTAGACCCATAGTAGACTTCAGAAACACTCCTAATTATGATTTATATAAATATATAGCGATGATGCTAGGTTCAGCTAGAAACCATCCTGAATTGAGACTTACTAACTCTTATGACCGGAGGCACAGTTTACATGATATATATTTAGATTACGATGAACAATTGGTCACTTCTGATGTAGTTAGTTTGTATACTAATATACCGATTGATATAGCTATAGAAGCAGTTAGAAGGAAGCTGGAAAATAACCATGACCTCACACTTCGATCTAAGGTACAGGTAGATGACATGATGTTAGGAGTACAACCACGCCTAACATCTACAATATTCAAGTTTTAGAATAAAATATACAAACAAACAGAAGGAGTTGCATTGGGATCACCAATATTCCCTATCATGGCAGACATGTTTATGGATAGTTGGGAATGGATGGCTGTCGAAACACTTACTCCTGCTCCAAAAGTGTCGTTTCGATATGTAGATGACACGTTTACAGTGTTAAAATCGGAGCACATACAGTTTACAAATTAAAACATTCAGTAGTCAATGTAATCCAATTCACCTATTAATTAGGAAATAGTGAAGGGGAATTAGCGATATTAGATTGTTGAATAAAACAAGATGGGAGTTTAGACACCAGTTTACAGAAAAACTTCGCACTTTAATCGCTACTTAGACTTCAAGTGGAACATAGGGTTTCAGTAGCATATCATCATTTCACTCTGTTCTCTGCAGTCTTTTTAACTTGGCCAAGATACTTACTCGAAAAACAGATCTAAGGCAGGAAATCAGATAAATTAAAAACACCTTAACCATCAATAACTACCCTCCTGAGTTAATAAAAAATTCCTCAGTAATCGTAAAAAAATTGGCCAGTATTAGTAACACAAGTGTCAATCGTAGTTATAATAATAGCAATAATAATAGGAACAATACTGTGAAGTAAGAATTAGAAACATACACAGTATTACCATCCAAGGAAGGCACTTAAGAGACATTATGGAGGATCCCCAGTAATATTGGGATTAGAGTGGCATTTAAACCTAAAAGCTTTATAGGTTACAAAACCTCACCCATCCAATTTGGCAAAGTAATTTAGTTTCCAAACTTCTTGCAGCGATTATGAGGTCAAGTACATAGATGAAAATAGTTGACCAGGGTCAATTAGGCTATCTGAGCATAAAAACCCAGGTAAATCGAAACTGGCAGATCGTAGTAAGATAAAGAACCTAGAAGGAAGCTCAACTATAGCTATGTCTGCAATTACCCACAACCATACAATATGATGGGACAAAGTGACATTCCTTAAAATTAACTTAGTGGGGTGGGGAGATTGATAACTGAATCTTCGTTTAACGAGTCAACACCAAATACATGGAACAGGAATGATACTGCATATGGATACAGATATATGGAGAATTCTACTAGCCTTATTACAAAGAAGGAGAGAGAATTAGAACTACATAAACCATGTTTCAAAGCTGTGAAGACATCTTGACAAAGCTATGAACAATAAATTGTGTCCGAAACGTAATCCAGTAAATAATACTCTCCCACTGTGATCCATCTCATAAATCAACTAAAATGGAAAACATCTTTGTATCGACTCGAAATCACCGTTTATCATTACTACGGTCATGAATTATTGGTTGCACAGAAGTCTTGTGTTCAGTTTCAGTAACGTCTTTTTCAACTCAACCACTGATAAAGAGTTTGTGAGGATGGATTGTGCAAGCATGCCAAATCCTCAGACAACAGAGTTCCAAAAAGAAATACTCAATATTATTCTGGATGTTTCAGTGATTTTAATTTGATTAAATAAGTTATTCTGGTGAAACCTGACAGTCAATTTCGTCCCAAGTTGACAGTCTTAAAAACTACATAAAACTAGCATTTCTTAGAGTTACTTTGTTATATTCTTCAAAAATGATCGTGTTCAACAAAAGCTATCTACTACCCTCTTGTTAGTTAGTGCCTGATCTATGCAATCGATTTCAAGGTAGCTGGAACACAAGAGTGTCACCAGTTTTGTCCAAAGCATTGTCAGCTCTCATAGGAGAACGATTTGTGAAGTAAATTTTCAATTTTATTCATGTGGTACTCGCGTTTTCTCTAGTTTATTTAGAATTTTGTAGTTATGTATAAAATTGGTCAACAGCAGTCTCATTTATCGCAGTTCATGATTGCCCTACCATAGCTTAACGGGATGGTCGTTTCCAATGATTTGGTCAAGAGAATCTTGTTGAGATTTCTACCGCCTAGTTAGCAAATATTTAGGCGTGATGGGAGATACAACCAACTGTCCACATTGTTTCACGTAGTGTTTGTTATATGGTATAATGATACCCGATGTTTACATTTTCTTCTAACTTTTTCTATTCATTCTTCATCGCTATAATTCCAGCTGAGAAAGGTCCACTATTGTGATCATGGATAAAGACGACTATATCAAAATGACAGAAGACTCACTCATGAACCGATTATATATATATATATATATATATATATATATATATATATATATATATATATATATATATATATATATAGTGATTGACTGCAGCTTGCGCCCATATGTCTTTATTTAAAAAAAAATCACCATACTCAAAATAGACAGTCGTACAAGTAGGTGATAACCTGCAAAATTCACATTATGAGTATCCGGAGATCCAATGGATACCTCTCATGAGCTCACTGGCTTAGCCATAGCATTTAGTTATGTAGCTGAAAGCGCGCCTCTCTACTGGATACCAGTCAACAGCCGTCTGTCTATATGCTGTTCCACTGAATGGATCTGTAAGAACTAGAAAGGATTGTGAAACTAGGCAATGTCTATTCGTTATCTCCACCTACACACCCAGGAACTGCAGTTCGTCTGATACATGGGATGAATTCTACGAGAAGACGTCAACTTTGCTACAGAAAGTGAAACGTTCTTATGTAGTCAATTTGGCAAGTGACTTTAACGCTCAAGTATGGAAGCTAAACTGAGGTGAGCCAATCGGAAAGGCATCTTGCTGGTGTTTACAGAATCCCGTGCCAACGAACTGACAACGGTGATCGTCTGTTGCAATTTTG